AAAAAACCTTAATGCCAAGAAAAGAAATGTGAAATGTGGGCCGGTGAGATGGCTCAGCAGCTGTGCTTTCTGCTCAAGCCTAGCAACATGGATCATATGTGAAAGGAGAGAATCAATGCCTGAAAGGTGTCCTCTGACCTCCACACACACTATGGTACACTCATGCCTCCATACACATTACACACACGCGCATGCACACACACACACACACACACACACACACACAATTTTTTTTAAAAAAAGGAGAAATGCCACACACTAAATTGCTGGGGAAGAAGATGTGTTAACACCAAAAAACTCCATCTATAGGTCAAGGACCGGGTGACATAACCCTCCCCAGTGCCTTTCAGAGGAGAATAGCTTTATGGGACCTTCATTTCAGACCTCTGACCCAGAACTGAGAAAAAAATGTTTCACTTAAGGCACTTTGTGTAGCTCTGTTGGGCAGTCACACGTCTCACACACATCCACCCACAGCAATGAAGGAAGACAGTGATAGGAGAGGGACGAGATGGGAGGCAGGGAGCAGGCAGGCAAGCAAGTGGGATGGCAGATGTAGAGTGTCAGTGCTGATGGGCACCCATGCCCCCACAAGCAGGCCATATCCTGATGGCACTGTGGGCTATGCCAATACCTTTATCACAGTCTTGCTGAAGCTTCTCTGTCAGCTCAACAGAGCAGACACCTCAGAAATTCTGTAGCCACCGCTTAGGCAGGCAGCTGTCATACTGCACTAAAGAGTCAAGAGGCTCTGTCCCCACACACAAGACTCAGAATTGACTAGATTCTGGGTTTTAAGACCCCAACTATAAAGGACATTTTAAAGACATTGGAGGTTGATGAATTGTTACCCAGTTTTCACCAGTGCTAAGTGAGAATGACCTGTTTGGGGCTACATGGATAGAAACAGAGATGGGTGAGCTGTAAAGACTGGTAATGCTCCTCACCCACCCCCGCATCGCGGATGGGGGTCTGGGAAGTCAAGAGGTTACACTGAAGAGCACAAAGAAACCACTGGCATTGCTTGCTTTTCAACTCTAAAAGTCTGCGGTTCTCGAGGGCTCTGGGTCTTGAGGGCTCGAGGAGGCTATCCTAGGTGGATGTGAGTGGAGAACAGAGGGATTGCGTTTCAGGCCACAGCAGAGGCTCAGTAGGTCAACAACAAGGTCTGGAATGCTGGAGAACCAAGGAGAACACAGCAGGGTCTGAGGGGTACCCACTAAGTCTGGTGAGATGGACCACCACTGAGAGCTGACATCCATCCCCCTGGTGAGAGGAAGGGTCCAAGGCTGGCAGCATGTGTGCTGTGTGTCTGTAGAGCAGGACACAGGCGGCTGCATCTTCCCATCCCCTCCCTGATAGACACTTGAACTTCCACATGTCTTACACTTGCCTGGCTCAGATGCCCACTTTTTCTGGTGGCTGGGTAGGACCTGGGCTTTAGCAAAGGCCCCTCTACGAAGTGGGTGCTGCTTCCTATTCAGAGGCCCGGGCATGGGGTAGACAGGGGTGTGTGGAGCATTCGTTGTGTGTGCAGCTGCTGCCTACTGACCATCCTTAGCCTATCTCCGCCAAACAGGACCTGATGTCGCAAGATGGACTAAGAGTGTGCTCAGGGTGCATGTACCTGGGATGTAAGTACCCAAGGTATGTGTCCATGATGTGTGTCCCAGGATATGTGTTCCTCAGAGTACATGATGCAGAATGTGTGTGTGTCCAGAGTGTACATGCCAATAGTACCATTAGATTTTTCCTAAAAGCACAGACTCCAACCACTAGCAAGGCTGCATGGCCAAGGTGTTAGCCCACACCAGGGGTGCGGGCAATGGGGCCCAACCTTTCAGGGAAGCTACAGCAGCACAGGGTATTCCAAAGCCCAAAGACTGAACTCCAAGTCCTTGGTGAGATAGTCAATGACCTAAATTTTCACCTCAAGATGGCAGCAAAAGGGCACTGTAATCCCAACGTTAGTTGAGGGAGTAGGACAATTAAAAGTAGAAAGAGGTCAACAATAGGGAAAACTAGAAATTGTAAAGGAGGTTATAGCAGAGCCAGGGTACTAGGGAGGGCTGAGGCAGGAATTTGGGGGAGTTCACAGTCAGCTTAGGCTGCATAAGGAGATCCAGTTTCAAGTAACAAAAAAAGGAAAAAGAAAAGAAGGAAGGAAGGAAGA